AAACTGAAACAAGGTCAGTCTATTCCCGGTCATTGATCAGGTGTGCAAGTAATAACTCTGTACCTGAAGAAATGAGGATTAGCAACTTGGCCTTGACAATAGAAATGGTACTCAGTACATGGAAATCCTTTTTTTTCTCTATTTCTGGCTGAATTTGGAGCATGGGCATTATTTCTTACAAAATATACTCCTGAATTGCTCATACTCAGGTTCTGGCTTTTGAGATTGTTTTGGTTGCGTGCGTTCTCTGCTAGTTGAAGAAGATAGAACGAGGAAGGACAAAAATAGTGATTTTTGCATTTTGTACGAGTCGTGGCAAGAAATGGCTGCAAACTTCTCTGTACAGGTACATCTGTCACTTGCGCAGCGTTTAGCAAGTGAGTCTATTTTAATCAGAACTGCGGACACTCTTACCCTCCCAACTTCTTGGTGTAATTTTCGCTTATGGAAAATACTGTCTTACTGTTCATCACCTGCCTTTAACTGCATTTTCTTTCCTGAAAAGCATGCTAGGAAGTGAGAGGCTTTTGACAGAGCACTAAAGATATATTGCATTTGACTGCTGCCTGAGACTTCTCTGCACAGATGGATCGCGGTAGTCAACCCAAATCTAAAGAAAATTTAACAAAGCGGAAAGACCTCACTTATGTCCTACTGAACGAGCTGGTGGTGCTTTCATTTGCTCCTTTATAGGCTTATAGTCAAGAATTAGGCGTGTCTGCGCAGTGTTTTGGTTTTTAGTTCACTTACTGTGAGCTGTCTGTAGTGATGCATCACTATGTTGGCATCAGTGTTACGTGGGGAGATCTGGGCAGCTGTCCTGTTATTTGTCCAGTCTTTGATAATCAGGACAGAAAGAGTTGTAAAGATTTATGTGGCTGTGAAAGAAGGCCTAGCATGGTACATTGCAGAAGATCATCTCACAGAGTAATCTTGATGTGGGAGTACTGATGAGTTATGTTAATCAGCACTGGTCGGGGGCACTCTGATGCACATGCAAGAACTATTGAAAGATGCTTACATGCTGTTGACTAACACTGGATAATTTGCACACAGCAAGGTCACAATGCAGTAGCTTCATATTTTGAGGAAGCACTATGTTAACAAATTTCTGTGAGGCTGTTTCAAATGATTAAACGGGAGAGAAAATCTGCATTATGCTTAAAAATAAGTTCACATGAAGAAGGTCAATTGATACAGTGCTTGAAATAATTTCACATGTTTCACAAATAAGTCTGAGATTTGGGTAAGAGGACCTATTGCTTTTTCCTATTCAAGACTTCTGTGCAGTGATTCACAGTAAGGCTGCTTTTTATCAGCCACACAAGCTTGTAATATGTTTCCTTTGTTCCTGCCAGGTTGAAGGTAAATTGTGATTACTGGGCTGTTGGGGGAGAAACGAATGTGTTGGAGCAAAGTGAAACTGCTTAGCCTAGTGAGTGTAGTCTGCAGTGTCTAGATGGATGTGCTTAGATGGCTCTACAGCTACAGGCTATAAATACTTTAAAGTCATGCAGCTTTACCGAGAGAGCTGCATGCACGTGTAGCAAGAGTGTAGGTGTGACACTGGAGCAGTGCAAGCTGTGCCGACTCTTCCCTTCCCTTTGAGTAAACGAAGGTGTTGCATATTGTACGTGTTGGCAAGTACTGTAAAAGTGTGTAATTTGTGGCTTTTAACAAACGCTTGTTTGGAGGCAGGACTTTGTCCCTTCTGCTGGGGATGGCATTATGGATGTGTACCAGTTTATGATTGTGTTGTAGTCTCTAGTTGGCAGGTGCTGCGTTGTCCTCTTGAGATCGTGCATGAGGAGGAGTATGTACCAGCTGAAAATGTTTTCTTTAAAGGCTTCCAGTAAAAAAAAATAATAAAACAGATACTTTTTTTACATGTGGATGGGGGTAGACTTTGAAGGCCTTATCTATCTGAATGTAGTTTATTAACAAGACTAGTCCAGGGGATTATTCTCAGTGGTTTTGCTCAAAGTATAGCACTTAGATAGAAGACTTTACAGGGCTGTTACTATTAAGAAAGGCTATTGCAGTAGCAATTGTAATAGTTCTGTATTTATAGCACATTAATGACAGGAAATGTGCTATGTGTCTTAAGTTATCAGTGATGTAATGGGTTGGAGCAAGTTCTGTCTTTTTTTACTCCTGTTATTAATGAAATACCTTTTTCTGGCAGCTGTTCTACTGGATATGTTACTCAAGTTAGGCTCCTTGTGAGATACTCAAAGCAAGTATTGTCCAGATGAAAACTTCTTATTTGTTTGTCAGGGTAAATTCCAAGATTGAAAAAAAAAAATAGAAGAAGAAAAATATGTTCTCCCTGTTTTGAGTTAGAATATATAACTTCTGTACTAAATAAATGTTACATGATTGCATGAGATTATGGAGGATAAGTATTTGTGCCTTGGTTGACCTTTACTGTATCTCTGTTCTTAATGGCATTTTACAGCATCTTCTGCCGTTTCTCTTAATTATATAATTAAAATTACTCCTTTTTAATAGTGAGCAAGTCTTAAGAATGTTTGCCAGCATTGTTAGCATACATTAGCTTGAAAACATAGCAGTTTTCAAGCCTGTTGGTAGAGTTACAGAGCACAAATATCATTCATCAATTAAAGTTTTTGTATGATGTAATGCAGAAGAGGCTTCCTGAGATCTTGTCCAAACTATGCAGAGTAAGCTAATACTCTTCAAAAACTGAGTGTGAGATTCTGTGGGAGACTGAGCCTGTGAGAGGCTGGAAATGTTGCTTTCATGAAAAGAGGATGGATGCCAAGCATGTGGTAGCCAGGGCGTGCACGCAGCCTTCATGGCACGTGAATGTTGCTGATTGCAGAGCCCCACACTGCTTATCTAGAGAAGCTGCTTTTAACATCTGCAGTTGCAGTAGATGTTCTCTTACCTTTAGCTTGATAACTTTCTTCTATGTATTTTTTTTCCCTTTTTTCCCCCTCATTTTTTTGCCTTAACAGCAAGTCACACAAAAAAAGAAAGAAGCTTGCCTTAGGTATCCCAATTTTAGTCCTACCCTGATAGGGCTGGAGCTTCAGACTAATAAAACATCAAAAGCAGTAATTCAGAAAAGGAGGAGCTTATCCATAATAAGCCTGAACTGGACAGATTGGCACAGTGGCATTCATAGAAGTGTTATTCATGTGATATATGTAGTCTTTAAAATGCTAAAAAAGTGGAAGTTCAGCAGAACAGCAGATCTCTCTTATGACACTTAAAATATAAGATTAAAACAGCAGTAAAGTTGACTTCCTGGAAGAAGAGAGACAGAATTTGAGGCATTAACAGTTTGACAGTTCCCTTTTGATTCGAGTAATATTATTGTGTGCATCAACCTGCATGAACTAAGGGCGCAACACAAAGAGGCCTTTGAGTTAGAGGAAAGGGGCTGCAGAGACACGCCGTGCTGTGGGCTGGTTTTGTGCCTGTGTGTTCTGTAGCCTACACACACAGACAGTAAAGATGAAAGACTCCAGGGATAGAGTTTTCAGTAGATAACATACATGTTAGTAAAAAAAATAACCTTGGGAGGCAGATGGAAAAAGAACTGGATGCCAAATCTTGCCTGCATCTCATTTGTGTGCCTGGGGTTTTTTGTGAGTTTGGTGATCTGCTTGAACAGAACTTAAGTCCAAAGCTAGAAATTAATTCTAAATGGGTTCGGCTGAACGTGGCAAACAAAAAACATAGCTAAATATGAAAACATAATACAGGCAAGTTTTCCAGGAAGTCTCCAATCTGAGGAGTTGGGGTTCTGTTTCCTGGAAAAGTGTGAGCATCGTCTTAATGTTCTTTCAAAGGAAGGAGTCTCTCCAGGTGGCTTTATCCATTTTTTTTTTTTCAGGAAGAGAAAACCACAAGGTGTTTCAGACATGAAGTGCTTATGTCATCTGTTAATATGGGGGTTTTGTTTTGTTTGGTTGGTTTTGGTTTTTTGCTTTGTTTGTTTGGCTTTGGTGTTCAAAGGCAGCATACATGTACATACTTGTTCATTTCCATACTTTTCTTAATGTATCTAGTAATGTGACAGGCTTTTATAGAGGCACTAGCCAGGGTCCCCAGACAATTCTGCAGTTGTGGTCCAGTCCTTGAGGGTGAGTCATAATTCCACATACTGAATAATATGTTGAAATACAGAGGAGAGCCTTCCTGGAGTTTGTTTACTTATGAGTTGCTTATGTAAGTGTAGATCATACTCGGTATTCCAAAATATATATTCTGACTGGCAAGTGTTTCCAGTTGTGTTTCATTCAAGGTAATATAAAAGTCCTGAGGAATGAAGTTGTAGACTGTTTTGCTCAAATAGAGTGAACTTGTTTCAACTTTCCATCCTGTAAAGCAAAGCAGATGTCTGGGGGGGGAAAATGCGATGTGTTGGTTTTCACCTAGGAGTGTCACTGGAATGACTCAGGAACTGAGCATTGAGTATGCTGGTGCCACACACTCACATAGATCCTTTCAATGGGTTGTCTTGGTTTGAGCTTTGGTCGGTTGTATCTTGAGTGTCTGCTTATAGTGTGAAACATGGACCTTGGATATCATTCCTGTGGTAAATCCAAGGGGGGTTTGAAAGCGTTGCAGGGTTCTTGTCGCGTCTATAAGCATGGTAGCAAAATACTTGGATTACTCTCAGTATTAGCCATAGGGAATAGCTGGACAGTGAGGATTACTCTCATTTGCTTTGCAAATATTGTTGGAAGTTTGTCTCTTCAGGGGCACAAAAACACAGCCAGTGAGTGGATGATGATTGGAAATATTAATGCTGGAAATGCACTCCAACTGGTAGTGGGCTACTGGCCTGCATTACCTGGAAGATTGGCAGGTTGCAAGACAAGGGGTTAAACATTGATGCACCAGAAAGTAGAAGAGAAATACTAAATTTCAGTTGCTGTTGAAGCAGGGAAATTGAGTGGGGTACTGGTGTGACTGGGAAACATATTATATCTTTTTTTTTCCCCTCTCTTTTTCTCCATATTTAGGAGGGCTTTCGAGCTACTGCTCTGCTGCTGAACAGCATGCAGTCCTTTCGGGAGCAAAGTAGTTATCACGGAAACCAGCAGAGCTACCCGCAGGAAGTGCACGCTTCATCCCGACTGGAAGAGTTCAGCCCCCGCCAGCAGGCCCAGATGTTCCAGAGCTTTGGAGGAGGTGCTGGCAGTGGACGTCGTGGAGCAACAGGAGCCTCTACAGCAATGCCTGGTGAGAGCTCTGGCCATCAGAGCTACCAAGGTTTCAGAAAAGAAGCAGGAGAGTTTTACTATATGGCTGCCAACAAAGATCCAGTGGTGTCAGGAGGGCAGCAGCCGCCTCAGCGCAGGCCTTCTGGACCAGTACAGAGCTATGGGCCCCCTCAAGGGAGTAGCTTTGGGAGTCAGTATGGGAGTGAGGGACATGTGGGCCAGTTCCAAACACAGCACTCGACCCTTGGGGGTGTATCTCACTATCAACAGGATTATACTGGTCCTTTTTCTCCAGGGAGTGCCCAGTATCAGCAGCAGGCTTCTAGCCAGCAGCAGCAGGTGCAGCAGCTGAGACAGCAGATCTATCAATCTCATCAGCCTTTACCCCAGGCTTCCAGCCAGTCTGCTTCTAGCACCTCGCACTTGCAGCCAATGCAGCGTCCATCCACCCTGCCTTCCTCTGCTTCAGGCTACCAGTTACGAGTGGGTCAGTTCAGCCAACACTATCAGCCACCTTCGTCATCCTCCTCCTCCTCTTTCCCTTCCCCACAGCGTTTTGGCCAGTCGGGACAGAATTATGACGGAAGCTACAATGTGAATTCTGGGTCGCAGTACGAAGGCCATGCTGTGGGTTCCAATGCACAGGCCTATGGCACCCAGTCAAACTACAGCTTTCAAACTCAACCAATGAAAAGCTTTGAGCAATCTAAGCTGCCCCAAAGTGGGCAGCAGGGGCAGCAGCAGCAGCACCCACCTCAGCATGTAATGCAGTATTCAAATGCTGCCACCAAACTCTCTCTTCAAAGTCAAGTGGGACAGTACAGCCAGACTGAAGTTCCTGTAAGGTCACCGATGCAGTTCCACCAAAACTTCAGTCCAATCTCTAATCCGTCTCCTGCTGCATCTGTGGTTCAGTCTCCAAGCTGCAGCTCTACCCCTTCTCCACTCATGCCAGGTGGAGAAAATCTCCAGTGTGGGCAAGGCAACATGTCCATGGGTTCTCGAAACCGAATCCTGCAGATGATGCCTCAGCTTAGTCCTACGCCATCTATGATGCCAAGCCCCAATGCTCATGCAGGTGGATTCAAGGGGTTTGGACTGGAAGGACTGCAGGAAAAAAGGCTCACAGATCCAGGACTGAGCAGCCTGAGTGCTCTAAGTTCTCAAGTTGCCAATCTGCCCAACACAGTCCAGCACATGTTGCTCTCAGATGCCTTGGCACCTCAGAAAAAAAGTTCCAAAAGATCATCCTCTTCCAAGAAGGCTGACAGCTGCACCAACTCAGAAGGCTCCTCCCAGGCAGAGGAGCAACTCAAGTCTCCCATGGCAGAGTCCCTGGATGGTGGCTGTTCCAGTAGTTCAGAGGATCATGGGGAAAGGGTGAGACAGCTGAGTGGCCAGAGCACCAGCTCAGACACCACTTACAAAGGGGGTAATTTAGAGAGACCCAACTCCTCACCAGCACAAGGCTCTCAGAATGAGCCATCAAAACTCAGCAGCAGTCCTGCAGCTAGGGAGGATGTGGCCTCCCCTGATGGGAAGGAAGCTGTGGTGGCTGTGGAAAATGCCCCAAAAGTGAATGAAAAGGCAGTTGGGGTGATTGTCTCCCGGGAAGCCATGGCAGGAAGAGTAGAAAAGTCAGGTGGACAAGATAAACCTGCGCAAGATGATGCTTCCACAGCCCCTCAGGCACCAGCTAGCACCAGTGGAGCAAAGGAAGCTGGGCATGCAGGGACACAGCAAGAAACTCAAGCAGGAGGTAAAGGGAGCAAAAGTGGCGATAACACTAACCATAATGGGGAGGGGAACAGCCAGCCTGGTCATGCAGTTGTTGGGCCAAATTTTCCTTCAAGAACAGAATCTTCCAAGTCTCCTGGTAGTTTAAGATACAGCTACAAGGATAATATAGCACCTGGTATACAGAGAAGTATTGGTGGCTTTCCACAGTATCCATCTGGTCAAGAAAAGGGGGATTTTCCAGGGCATAGTGAGCGCAAAGGCCGTAATGAGAAGTTTCCTAGCCTCCTACAAGAGGTTTTACAGGGGTACCACCATCATCCGGACAGAAGGTATTCTAGGAACGCGCAGGAGCATTCTGGGATGGCTGGGAGTTTGGAGGGAGCCATGAGACCCAATGTTTTAATTAGTCAAACCAATGAATTGACCAATAGAGGCCTCTTAAACAAAAGCATGGGGTCCCTCCTAGAAGGCCCTCACTGGGGTCCCTGGGATAGGAAGTCTAGCAGTGCAGCTCCAGACATAAAGCAGATAAATTTAGCTGATTACCCTATTGGTAGAAAGTTCGATGTGGAGTCTCAGTCTGCTGCCCATGAGGCAGGAGCACTCTCAGAGAGGAGATCAGTGATCTGTGACATATCTCCATTAAGGCAACTTGTAAGAGATCCTGGCCCTCACCCCATAGGGCACATGGGTCCTGAGGCCAGAAGCGGAAGGAGTGAACGTCTTGCCCCTGGCTTGAGCCAGTCAGTAATACTCCCTGGTGGTTTGGTATCCATGGAAACAAAGATGAAAGCTCACAGTGGGCAAATAAAGGAAGAAGATTTTGAACAGTCAAAGAGCTCAGCTAGTCTCAACAATAAAAAAACAGGAGACCATTGTCATCCTGCCGGCATCAAGCATGAATCTTTTCGAGGCAATGCCAGCCCTGGAGCTGCAGTCTCTGATGCTGCTCCAGACTACATGCCCCAGCAGGACAGCAGATCAACACAGATGAGACGAGGACCTGGCAGAACTGGAAGGGGTAAATCACCCTCTCAATATCAGGATCTTGCTGATAAGCTGAAAATGTCACCAGGTAGAAGCAGAGGCCCAGGGGCAGATCTGCATCACATGAACCCACACATGACACTATCTGAAAGAGTTAGCAGGGGTTCCTTGCATTCTGTCTACCCTCAGAATTCGGAAGGCCCATCTCTGGCTTCAGCATATCACACGAATGCTAGGCCTCATGCTTTTGGTGACCCCAGCCAGAGTCTGAACTCCCAGTATCATTACAAGAGACAGATATACCAGCAACAGCAAGAAGAATACAAAGATTGGGCAAGCAGCGCTGCTCAGGGTGTGATTGCTGCAGCTCAGCACAGACAGGAAGGAGCAAGGAAGAGCCCAAGACAACAGCAGTTTCTGGAAAGAGTAAGGAGTCCCTTAAAAAATGACAAGGATGGAATGATGTACCTTCAAGGTAGCTCTTACCATGATACTGGAAGCCAGGAAGCTGGGCGCTGTGTCATGGGGAGTGACGGTACTCAGAGCAAGTGCACCGAACTGAAACATGGCAGCCAGAAGTTGCAGCATCATGAATCTGGTTGGGACCTCTCTCGACAAACTTCTCCTGCCAAAAGCAGCGGCCCTCTTGGAGCAGCCAACCAAAAAAGATTTTGCCCTCAAGAAAGCGATGGGCATCGACGAGAGGAATCTACAGATTTGCCTAAGCCTAGTAATGCTATGCTTAGGCTCCCTGGCCAGGAGGACCAGTCTCCGCAAAACCCATTAATTATGAGGAGGAGGGTCCGTTCTTTCATCTCTCCTATCCCTACCAAAAGACAGCCACATGATATGAAGAACAGTGGCAGTGAAGATAAAGCGCGACTGATGACTTCAGCAAAAGAAGGAGCCGATAAAACATACAACTCCTATGCCCATTCATCTCAAAGCCAAGATGCTGGCAAGTCAGTTGCAAAGGGAGATTCCTTCAAGGACCTGCCAAGTCCTGATAATAGGAATTGTCCTGCTGTTTCCCTCACAAGCCCGGCAAAGACCAAAATATTGCCCCCAAGAAAGGGGCGAGGATTAAAACTGGAAGCTATTGTTCAGAAAATTACATCTCCCAATATTAGGAGAAGTGTTTCTACCAACAGTGCTGAAACTGGTCCAGATACTGTCACTCTTGATGACATCCTGTCCCTCAAGAGTGGACCTGAAGGAGGAAATGTGGCTGGCCATGGACCAGAGGCTGAGAAGAGAAAAGGAGAGATATCAGATCAAGTGGGGCCAGCAAGCCAGGATACAAGTGGTGAAAAAACTGTTCCAAGATCTTCAGAAGAGTGGCAAAGCAGCGAGGATGACAAAAACAAAAAAGAGGTCCCTGAAACTGCCAGTATTGGCAAAGAGGGAGCAGCATCCAGTGCAGCACCAGCACCTTCTCAGAAGTCAGGTGGTCAGGGAAGGTCTGATGGATCTGTAAGTGGAGCTGGAACTCTGACCTTTTCTGACTCAAAAACAATTTCCCCTTCCAGTGTATTCATTTCTGAACCAAATCCAAAGTCTGAGGAAAAAGATGGAGATGTGACAAACATTTCACCCAAGCCAGATGGTTTCCCTCCAAAGGGATATTTCCCCTCTGGAAAGAAAAAAGGGAGGCCAATTGGGAGTGTGAACAAGCAGAAGAAGCAGCAGCAGCAACAGCAGCAGCTGCCTGTGCCCCCGCCTCCCCCACCAGCACCATCACAGCCTGCAGAAGGGGTGGGTGCTGGCGAGCCAAAGCCCAAGAGGCAAAGGAGGGAGAGGCGAAAACCTGCAGCACAGCCACGGAAGCGGAAGCCTAGACGGGCTGCTCCAATCGTGGAGCCTCAAGAACCAGAGATCAAGCTTAAATATGCTACCCAGTCTGTAGATAAAACTGACTCCAAGAATAAGTCCTTTTTCCCTTATATTCACGTGGTAAACAAGTGTGAATTAGGCGCTGTGTGCACAATCATAAACGCGGAGGAAGAGGAGCAGAACAAATTGGTGAGGGGTCGGAAAGGACAGAGGTCTTCAACACCCCCTCCTAGCAATGCGGAGAGCAAAGTGCTGCCCACCTCAACTTTCATGCTGCAAGGCCCTGTGGTAACGGAGTCTTCTGTCTTGGGGCATCTCGTTTGCTGCCTGTGTGGCAAATGGGCCAGCTATCGTAACATGGGTGACCTCTTTGGTCCTTTCTACCCCCAGGATTATGCAGCTACCTTGCCCAAGAATCCACCTCCAAAGAGGGCCACAGAAATGCAGAGCAAGGTCAAGGTACGGCACAAAAGTGCTTCTAATGGTTCCAAGACAGATACTGAAGAGGAGGAGGAACAGCAACAACAGAAGGAACAAAGAAGCCTGGCTGCTCATCCCCGCTTTAAGAGGCGGCACCGCTCTGAGGACTGTAGCGGAGCCTCTCGGTCACTTTCAAGGGGAGCTTCTTGTAAAAAAGCAACCACTGATGGTGGCAGTGGTGGTGAAAAGACTCCTTTGGACTCAAAACCGTCTATGCCCACTTCAGAAGGTGGCACTGAGCTGGAGTTACAAATTCCTGAACTACCTCTTGACAGCAATGAATTTTGGGTCCATGAGGGTTGTATTCTCTGGGCCAATGGGATCTACCTGGTCTGTGGCAGGCTCTATGGGCTGCAGGAAGCTGTGGAGATTGCGAGAGAGATGGTGAGTACCTAACCTTGCTATACAAAATTATTTTATTTCATTAGCAAGTATATACCATTTGGAATACTGTTTTTCCTTGTTCTTCTCTCATGTCTTAAACAGCCATTTTAAAATCTTTCATAAATCTCTAGTGATGTCCTTTTGATGGCCTCATTTAGATCTCTGCCACACCTGATCAGATAAGATTTTTTGGACATCAAAAAAAGCTGGGTCCTTATTACCTAGTGTAAGTTCTGGATGTCCAAAGGCTTTCTCGTAGCTACAGTGATCTCTGCCTTCCTTCTTCTCTTCTGTTATTTGGTGTTCTCTAGGGCTCTTCTTGGAGTTGTAGAGTGAGAGGACGAGTGGTAGCAGCAGACACAAATTGCAGCAAAGAAAATTCTAGTTCAATGGGCAAAAAATTTCAATGAGGGTATTCAGACATTGGATTGAGGGAGGGGAAATGACAGAAAAGCCATGGAATGCCCTGGTTTTGGAGATGCAAAATTTGATTCTGGGCAGAACTCTTAACGGTCAACCTTCAAAGTTGGCTCTGCTTTCAGCAAGGGCTCCTTCCAGTGTGAGTTACTCTGCACTGTAATACATATTACACAACTGTAGGAGAATTTGCAGTCCTTACAGAATAAAATGGATAGAGCAGAATTGCACAAAGGTCTGTAAGCATTGAGTGAAATATGTGTGGGTTTAGTATTGATGAGTTCAGCATTCACAAATGACACTGATAATCTACCTTCTCTAGAGCGTGAGCATACAATGAGTAAGAAGAAATAGGTAAAATTAAAGCAGGGACAAAGGAAAAAGCTTTATTCACAACTGCCTGATTGAGAATGAACACACTGACTGTTCCTGATTTCCTGAGGCAGAAGCTGATGCTTTAAAACCACAGTTATGTGCCTTGCTTTGCCATCAGCAGTATCTTGCATTGCTTTTTTTATGGTTATCTTTTTTGTATTGTTCTCTGTCCTGGGTCAGACCATGGAAGAGGCATAGAACTACTTTTTCCTGTTGCCTTCAGGTTCTTCCTTTTCTAAACAGTGTTGGGATCCAGTTTTTATCTTCTTTCCTCTGTATTGTTACATACAGCGTGCTTGTTTCCTCCCCATGAGCTTTTTCTCTGTAAGTTTGATTCCCGGCTTTTTCTAAATTTTCACTCAACTGTTCTTTGACAGTAATTACATGCTTCTCTGCCCTAACTTGATTTGGCTTGCATTCTTGTTTCTAGTCTCTCATTAAACATAGTCAGTTAATTTCATTTGGTTTTCATCGAGCCATGCCTGTGTGCTTCTTCTGATGCAACTGCTGAATTTCTTATCTCTGATAATTGCAAGGTTTCTTTCAGGTTCTCCACCACCGTTTTGGATTCTACTCACAATGTGGGGCCATGCTTTCATTTGTCTCATAGTTCACCAGTATTTTGAATTTGTGTCTCTCCAGCCTGATTTTCCCCTTTTGCTGTGTGTAGGGTGTGTCTTTCACTTGGGATTCTGGTTTTCCCAATAGCAAATACCTTTTTTACAAGTTCTTGAACCGCTTGAGTTATCCTCCAGTGATCCATTTTGTGTCCCTGTTTGTGCAAAGACATAAGCCCAGCTGTGCTAAAACATGCTGTGTTGAGAGGCTCTAATCAAACTTGTTCAATAATAGCAGCCCGCTATCCACATTTTTATGTGGGTTTTTGCATCTTGTTTGACATCTAGTTCTTTCTCTGCATGGAATCTTTGACTTTCTGATTGAATATGCTTTGGCTTACTGTTTAGCACTTTCTTCCAACTGTTACAATCATCTCCTCCTTACAAGTAAAATTTTTTTTTCCTCTTCCTCTTAACCGTTTCATCTGCCTTTATGGCACCTTACAAAAATATCTCCTTATCTCCCTTGACCTTTGTGTTCTTTTCCTCTGCCTCTTTCCCTCAATCAACTCCTCTGTCTTTTCTTTTCCTTCATAATGCCAGTAGAAATAAGTGTTTCTCTTTTAAAAAAAAAAAAAAAGTACAAAATGCTTGTGGCCTCTCTTATCTTTGCAACTACCTCTTAATTTCCTTTTTCTATCTCAAAGTTCTTTGAGTTCATTGTCTGGGGCTCTTGTCCTCCACTGTGGCTTCAGTTGTGCTCTGCTGCAATTGTAATCAGTGTTTATGGTGATATTTTCCCAGTTCATGTTCAGATCCAGTGCCTAATTTTCCGTTTTTCTGTCGACTACGTTATCACTATCAGCTGTGCTGCTTTTGAAGTGTTGCTCCACCTTTGTTTCCTGCCTGTGTCTTTTGATTGCCTCCTTGCTTTCCATTGTATTCTTCAGAGAGGCTGTTTTTCATTACTTCATGCTTTTTCTGTGGGGCTCACTGAAGTTTGCTTGTGCTTTTTTTAATCCAGGAATAGCATGCTTTTGAGTAGCTTTTGGTAACTCAATCACTTTCTTCCAGAGTCTTGTAGAGCTTCCTTTTTTCTCCAGATTGATGTTCTTTCAGCACAAACTTAAAAATTGTTCTTGAATTCACAGTGAGTTTTCAAAATCTCACTTTAGAACATGGCTTTTAATCTACATCATCCTTAATCCATTGTCTGTCATTTTATTCTGATTTTCATGTCACTCAGATTCACAATCTCATTTGATTTTAAAATTATTCCTAATCCTTCCTCTTTAAGGCTACAAGAAATACTGCTTACTTTTGGTATATGATAAGTAATATGTAGTCTTTCAGTGCTCTCCACTGCTCTGTCTAGATCCATTTTTTTATCTGTTTATAAGACTGGACTTTCAGAGCGAGGGACCATTGTCTTGTGTGTACATTTTGTTTTGTTATAGAGTCATAGAATGACTTGAATTGGAAACAACATTAAAGATCAAACCACCTGCTGTGGGAAGGGACACCTTCCACTAGACCAGGCTGCTTAGAGCCCTATCCAATCTGGCCTTGAACACTTCAAGGAATGGGCTGTCCACAACTGCTCTGCATAACTTGTTCCAGTGCCTCACCACCCTCACAGTAAAGAATTTCTTCCTAATATCTAAGTTAAATCTACTCTCAGTTTGAAACCATTCACCCTTGTCCTGTCACTACATATTCTTGTAAATAGCCTCTCTCTTGTATGTTCCCTTCAGGTACTGGAAGGCCACAATTAAGTCACCCTGAAGCCTTCTCTTTTCCAGACTGAACAATCCCAGTTCTCTCAGCCTTTCCTTGTAAGGAGAGGTGCTCTGTCCCATTTTGGTGGCCTCCTCTGGACTTGCTGCAAAAGGTCTGTGTCCTTTTTTGTGTAGAGGACTTCAGAGCTGAATGCAGCACTGCAGGTGGGGTCTCACCAGAGCAGAGCAAAGGGGCAGAATCCCCTCCTTCATCCTGCTGCCCACGCTCCTTTGGATGCAGCCCAGGATACAACTGGCTTTCTGGGCTGTGCCATTGCTGGGTCACGTCCAGCCTCTTGCCCACCTTCACTCCCAAGTCCTTCTCAGCAGGGCTGCTCTTGATCTCTTCATCCCCCATCTTGTGTTGATACCAGGTTTGCCCCAAGCCAGGTGCAGCACCTTGCACTGGGTCTTGTTAAGCCCCATGAGATTCCCTTGTGCCCACTTTTGAGTCTGTTCAGATCCCTATGGTGGCATCCCATCCTTCAGGTGAGTGAAGAGCACCAATCAGCTTGGTGTTATCTGCAAGCTTGCTGAGGGTGCATTTGATCCCTTCATCTGTGTCATTAATGAAGACATTAAATAACACTGGTCCCAGTTCAGACCCCTGAGGGACACCACTGGTCACTGATGCCCACTGGGACTCTCAGCTGTTGATCTCTACCCTCTTCATGCAACCGTCCAACCAATTCCTGATCCATCTAATCTGTCAAATCCATCACTCTCCAGTTTGGAGAGAAGGGTGTTGTGTAGGACTGTCAAAAGCCTTACATTTCAAAAGCATTACATATAAATCACATCCTCGCCCTTTCCCAGGGAAGAGCGAGTCACTCCATCATAGAAAGCCACTAGATTGGTCAGGCAGGACTTGCCCTTTGGTGAAGCTGTGCTGGCTGTCCCGAATCACCTCCCTGTCCCCTGTGTGCCTTAGAACAGCTTCTAGGAGGATCTGTTCCATGATCTTCCCAGGCACAGAAGTGGGGCTGACAGGTTGGTAGTTCACAGGGTCCTCCTTTCTGCCCTTTTTACAGATGTGTACAATGTTTCCCTTTTTCCATTCACACGGGGTTTCGCCTGACTGCCAGTGTTTCAAATACCACAGAGTGTGGTTTAGGGATTACATCAGCATATTCTCTCAGGAATCTGGGATACATCTTTTCAGATCACATAGACTCCTGTATGTTTCTCAGGTATTTGTCAACCTGATCTTTGCATACAGTGGGAGGAACACTTGCCTGCCCCAGTCCTCATCCTGTCATCCATCCACTTGAGAGGTGTGGGAAGAGAGGTTGCCATTGAAGATTTGAGGCGAAAAATCTGTTGAGTACCTCAGTCTTCTTCTTGTCCATTGTTAGCTGTTTGCCAGCATTGTTTATGGTAGAGGGTACACCTTCTTTGTCCTTCCTTTTCTGGTTAACCTACCTATGGAAGACTTTCCTGTTACTCCTTGCATTCCTTTTCAGGTTCAGTTCCAGCTTTGCCTCAGCCTTCCCCAGACTATCACTGCACAACTGAACTTCCTCCCTATACTCTTCCCACGTTGCCTGTCCTTGTTTCCACTGCCTGTGTCTTTGTTTCTTTCCCTTCTGTTTGGCCAGGAGTTCCCTACTCAGCCATCCAGTCTCTTGCCTTGCTTGCTCAGTTTTTTGCTTCTGGGAATTGCTGGCTCTTGAACTCTATGGAAGACTTGCATAAAAATCTGCCAGCTCGGTTCTGCTCCTGTGTCCCTGAGGGCAGTCTCCCAGGGTACCCTATTGACTGTCTCCTTGAAGAGCTGGAAGTTTGCTTTTCTGAAGTTCAGGGGCTTAACTATACTCCTTACCTGACCCATATCCCTCAGGACTGCAAAATCCATCAATGCACGATCACTCCA